TTTTTTTATTTTGTTGTAAATTATATTATTTATATAGTTGTAGTTGATGCACTAAAATCACCCTAGCAAGTGTACTAGTCACTCCAAGTAATATGATGATGAGAAGAGTGTTGAACCCACGAGAATTGTGTCTAATTAAGTATCAAAATAATTAATCCAAATTTATTTGAACAACCAAATGGGAAGAAACTTTAATTAAAAATAATAAAAAGAAAATAACAAATAAACCTAACCAAGATAGGAGGCACTAAGGCATTGATTTCACCATAATCAATCAATATAAATTCTGGATTAATATACTTTCAAAACTAATTTATTGAGTGTTATTGCATGTGATGGTGGATTTCCCTAAATTAATTAACTAGCTTTCTTAAGTCAAGTTAATCCTCCACTAGTTTGTTAAATTAATCATATCTCTATGTAATTTTAAACCAACTAATGAGCATTAAATTCTATGGAAACCTCTAGCTTAAGAAGGGAGAGCTCCCAACTCTCTTCTCTTTCTCCACTACCACATATGAGCTAATTACCTTTCAGCCTTATAGTCTAGCACACGGTTTATATTATTATTGGTCTAATCTACGCAATTCTTTCTCAAGTTCATACATAAATCACTAAATCAATTGAAAGGTGATCAGACTTCCAATGCATTAAGTTTAATAATATAAACTCCTCACATGAATAACTTTAATTAAAAGTATAAAATCACAAAATCTATATTCAATTGATTAGGCTACATCATAGCCTTAATAAAATAAATCAGTTCATAATAAAAATAATAAAATATGAAATCAAAGTTATGAACATTCAAATATCAAATAATAGATAAAAACCCAAGGAAAAACAAAACCCAATTTGAGGAAATCGAACTCCTTGATTTTTTATTGTTGAATCCTTTCTCTTGATCTTCAAGAATGCCCAAAAGAGGGTTGCCACCAGCCTCTCAAAACTCCCTTCAATTCTGAATTTGGATGGGTATTTATAGGATTTTAGAAACCCTAATTGAAATAGAAGTAGGACTTGGAATAGAAATAGGAAACTGAATTTTGGATGCTGATCGCATGGTGCTGATACTTCAGATTACGTGTTGACACAAAATAGGAAACAGAATCTGATTCTGGACATTTAACGCATGGTGTCGACACCCCGATCATGTGTCGACACTACACCCGTGTCGGGTTTCTGGTCTCCTTTTGCAATTTCTTCAATGGTAAAATAGCAGATTTGGTTCTTGACTTCTGGATTCTGCACAAGTTGATCCTCAAGTCT